GGGCTCTCCTTCTACACCCCTCCTGGTGCCCACGATGAGGGTGACACCCCCATGTGCCACCCGGTGCGACCTCCGTGTCCCCATCCCAGCCAGGTGTCACCTCCTGTCCCCATCTCAATGCCACCCCCGTGTCCCTATCTCGGCCTGGTGTCACCTCCTGTCCCCATCCCAGCCTGGTGTCACCCCCTGTCCCCATCCCCATGTGTCACCCTCGTCTCCCTCGGACTCTCCTTTTACGCCCCTTCCAGCACCCACGACAAAAGTGACACCCCCTTGCCCACCCTGATGCCACCCACGTGTCCCCACGGGTGACGCCATGTCCCCTGTCCCCATCCCCTGTCCCCGTGGGTGACACTGTGCCCCCTGTCCCCATCCCTGTGTCCCCCTGTCCCCATGCCGTGTCCCTGTGGGTGACACCCTGTCCCCACGGGTGACACCATGTCCCCTGTCCCTGTGGGTGCCACCCTGTCCCCACAGATGACGCTGTGCCCCCTGTCCCTGTAGGTGACCCCGTGTCCCCGTGGGTGACACCGTGTCCCCGTGGGTGACCCCCCGTCCCCCTGCCTGTTACCATGTCCCCATCCCTGTCCCCGTGGGTGACCCCCTGTCCCTGTGGGTGACCCCCTGTCCCTGTGGGTGACACCATGTCCCTGTCCCCATCCCCTGTCCCTGTGGGTGACCCCCCGTCCCCCCTCCTGACCGTGTGTCCCTGTGGGTGACCCCCTGTCCCTGTGGGTGACCCCCTGTCCCCGTGGGTGACCCCCCTCCTGACCGTGTGTCCCTGTGGGTGACCGGCGGCCCCCCCTCCTGACCGTGTGTCCCCGTGCCCAGCGTGCGGCCACGCGTCGGGCGGGGCGGAGGACGAGGGCGAGGCGGAGGCCGGGTGGATCGAGGGCGCTGCCATCCTGCTCTCGGTGGCCTGCGTGGTGCTGGTCACGGCCTCCAACGACTGGAGCAAGGAGAGACAATTCCGGGGGCTCCAGAGCCGCCTGGAGCAGGAGCAGCGCGTGGCCGTGCTCAGGAGGGGACGCCTGGCACAGCTGCCCACGGCCGAGCTGGTGGTGGGGGACATCGTGCAGGTCAAATATGGTGAGTGGGGGGCACTGGGGGGAATTGGGGGGTATGGGGGGCATGGGGGGGCACTGGGGGGTCACTGCCTGGCACAGCTGCCCACAGCCGAGCTGGTGGTGGGGGACATCGTGCAGGTCAAGTACGGTGAGTGGGGGACACTAGGAGGGGGTGGTGGGCACGGGCAGGGGCTGGGGGCACTGGGGGATCATCCATGTCACACATGGTGAGTGGGGGGCACTGGGGGGGATTGGGGGGCACGGGGTGGCACGGGGGGGTCACTGGCTGGCACAGCTGCCCACGGCTGAGCTGGTGGTGGGCGACGTGGTCAAGTACGGTGAGTGGGGGACATGGGGGGCACAGGGGGGTATGGGGGGGTCATCCATGTCACATATGGTGAGTGGGGGGCACTGAGAGGGGCTGGAGGGCACGGGGAGAGGGTGTGTGGGGGGGTGGGGCACCACCTGGCACAGCTGCCCACACAGAGGTGCCACAGCCCCACAGGCACACTGAGGTGACACAGAGGTGCCACAGAAGTGCCCCAGCCCCACGGGCACATGGGGGTGACACAGAGGTGCCCCAGCCCCACAGGCACGCAGAGGTGACACAGGGGTGCCACAGAGGTGCCCCAGCCCCACGGGCACATGGGGGTGCCACAGAGGTGCCACAGAAGTGCCCCAGCCCCACGGGCACACCCGGGCACCCCGGGGTGACCCCGGTGCCCCCCCCAGGTGACCTCCTGCCCGCCGACGGGGTCCTGATCCAGGGCAACGACCTGAAGGTGGACGAGAGCGCCCTGACCGGGGAGTCCGACCACGTGCGCAAGGGCCCGGACCGGGACCCGCTGCTGCTCTCGGGTGAGGGGGGGGCACCCCGGGGGGCTCGGGGGGGCCGGGGGGTCCCTCTGTGACCCCCCAGTGTGTGTGTCCCCCCCCCCGGGCTGGCACAGGCACCCACGTGATGGAGGGCTCGGGCAGGATGGTGGTGACGGCCGTGGGCGCCAACTCGCAGAGCGGCATCATCTTCACCCTGCTGGGGGCTGGTGGGGACGAGGACGAGGGCGACAGGAGGGACAGGAGAGGTGGGACCCGGCTCGGGGTGTCCCCCGTCGCTGTCCTGTGTCCCTGGGTGTCCCCATGTCTGTCCTGTGACCCTGGGTGTCCCCACATCCGTCCCGTGTCCCTCTGTGTCCCCATGTATGTCCTGTGTCCTTGTATGTCCCCACATCCATCCTGTGTCCCCTTGGGCTCTGTCCCCATGTCCATCCCATGTCCCTCTGTGTCCCCATGTCTTTCCTGTGTCCCTGGGTGTCCTCATGTCTATCCCATGTCCCTGTGTGTCCCCACAACCATCCTGTGTCCCTGTGTGTCCCCATGTCCATCCTGTGTCCCTGGGTGTCCTCATGTCTGTCCCATGTCCCTGGGTGTCCCCACAACCATCCTGTGTCCCTGTGTGTCCCCATGTCCATCCTGTGTCCCTGTGTGTCCCCATGTCCATCCCATGTCCCTGTGTGTCCCCATGTCCATCCTGTGTCCCTGTGTGTCCCTATGTCTGTCCTGTGTCCCTGTGTGTCCTCATGTCTGTCCCATGTCCCTGTGTGTCCCCATGTCCATCCCGTGTCCCCGTGGGCTCTGTCCCCCTCTGTCCCCGTGTCCATCCCACATCCCCTTGTGTTGTTGTCCCTGGGGGGGGAGCCTGCTCCCAAACTACCCCTAAACTCTCCTAAACCTGCCCCAAACTGCCCCTTCCCCAACCCCACCCCTAACCCTAACCCAGACTGCCCCAAACGACCCCAACTGCCCCCAAACCACCGAAAACTGCCTGAAAACTACCCCTTCCCCAACCCCATCCCTAATCCTAACCCAGACTGCCTCAAACTGCCCCAAAACCACCTCGAACTGCCCCAAACTGCCCCTTCCCCAACCCCACCCCTAACTCTAACCCAGGCTGTCCCAAACCACTCCAACTGCCCCCAAACCACCTCAAACTGCCCCAAATGGCCCCAAACCCACCTCAAACTGCCCCAAATGGCCCCAAACCCACCTCAAACTGCCCCAAACTGCCCCTTCCCCAAACTCACCCCTACCCCTAACCTAGACTGCCCCAAACCCTCCCCAAACTACCTCAAAACTGCTCCAAATGGCCCCAAAACCACCTCAAGCTGCCCCTTCCCCAACTCCACTCCAACCCTAACCCAGACTGCCCCAAACC